CCTACTGCATGTGTCAATGAATCCGAGACTGCCGCAGCAACTGGTCTCACCAGAGAGATTCGCCTTAATAGACAGATGATGATAGATGCACCATGATGATATTGCATGATGTTGTCTCGAGTGTCATCAGCTCATTGTCGTTTCATTTGCTGGAGCTAACTGTAGATAGTCAGAGAACATTCTCAAACGCATTCTTGTGCTCATGTAGCTACTTCAGTCATCAAAGTGCATGTTTTCTTTCGCTAGCTAAGCCTGCTTGCATCATCGAAAATCAAGCATAGCCGCATAGCCCGACTTAATGCTGACCCAAGAGTGGTACAACAAAGATGTGTTTGGACCCGAGCACCCTCTTGGCTGTCAGAAAAATTGCTCCAAAAACTTTTGAGATGCCGACTGCAGGGTTTCTCGGGAGCTTGTGGCATATAATGGGTGCAGTCGATGGCTTGCCAGATCTGAGGTGCCACCAGGGATTTGAAATTGTCGGTGATGTCCGATGGCCGTAAAGTACCAGTTGGCTACTCAGGCACGCATAGTGATCATACGGGAACACACGGGAAAGTCTGTGCAGGACATTTCCGAGACTCAGAGGTTTAATTGGTAGATGATTCTAGTGGGTGCTCTCTGAACCAGGCTCTAGACTTTTTTTCAAAGAGGAAGACCTTGACTTGATGCATTGCATGCGGTTTCAGGGACGATCTTTTGGAGAGTCAAGACATGTCAATACGAATAAAAGATAATAAAAGAGCATGACATTTTGAAAATTGTCGATATGTTGCCAGAGTCACTAGCTTAGATCAAACTTTCTGGGCCGGCATCTAATACACACGACCCCCCTGGAAGTGTGTCATGCTTTATTTACAGCTGCAATGTATCCAGTTCCTGATCAATGGCATCAGACGAGAGCTCGGTCTTTGATTGTGCAGGCCAATCAATACCTTTCCGGAACGAATCCTTCGCAGCTTGCCGTTGAATGATATGCAAGTTCAGCTTTTTTGTGGAAGAGATAAATGCAGCACTGGAGTAGGGTATCTTTTTTTGTTCATATTTTTGCAGCTTGCAAGGCACTGCTTTCAAACATTGAACTTCATTCAACTTCATTGAACTTTCCTTTGGCTTTGAATGCGTTCCATTGCACTAGACCAAGGAGGGCCTCATCTTCTTCACCCACCGACCTCCCAAAGGGAGTAGTTCATCATGGGCACGGGAGCCAAAGGGCAGCCATATTACCAGACTGCCAGATAAATCGGGATAGGATAGGCTAAATTGGACATGTGAGCACAGAATATCAAACAGGAACCTGGAAAAGAAACAAACGTACGCAGACATAGAAGCACACCTTGACAAGATTTGTTCTGTCGTGGCCTCAATTTTGGCGTTCCAGTGAAGAGAGACGCAGGATTCTCCACAAGAGTGATCTTGCTTAAAACACCAGTGTTTTGCAAAACATCTAAGGCACCTCTTAATCCAATGCTTTGGCGTTTCCTTAGCATCCCGACACATGCAGACTCCACTTCTCTAAGCTGACTTGAGTTCGTGGCGCACCGGGCATATTACATGAGTTTGAAGCGTTTGGCGATGTTTGGCGCCTATCTGATGCAGATGCATTAAGCATCAATAAAGAATGTAAATCATGAATATGAATGAAATTGAATGAACACATGTATGAACACATGTATGAACAAGATACCAAGATAATACGATGAATGGCAATGACAAAATACCACAGATTACTCAAATGACCGACAATTTCGTCCGGCAAGGCTTTCCGAGAACGCCTCGAGGGATATGGTTCTCCAGATTGGCTCTGGGAGGTTGGCCATGGCCCCGTGGCCACTGTATTTCCACTCGGCGACCCAAAAAACAATTCCGAAAATTGCAAAGGGATCTACAGCTTTGCTTTTAGATTTCTCACGCTTAGATGGTGGTCCTGGAAGACAAAGGCCAAGCGGATCAAAGATGATCAAAAAAAAAGGATGATCAGAGTCATCAAATGTCATCAACATGAGGGATATGAATGGGATATTAATGGGATATTCGAAGATGGGAGCCATGTGGGCCACCTCTGCATGGAGGTTCAACTCCATGGCCGTTTCTTGAAGCCAACTGGCAAGACGATTTGGCTCAGGCGAGGGCTGGGAAAAAGCGTCACACCCTCACGTGAACCAGAATTCTTCATGGGATTTGTTTGATCTTGAGAGTTTCTGTTGCAGATATTCGAACCTCGTCCAGCTTTTGATTTGATCAGATGCTTTTGGTTTGATCAGATGTGGGTTCCAAGCTGATGTCAAACTATGTCTAGGAGATTCTAGGAGTTAGAGTTTGGACTCGCAGTCTGAACAACCCATCACCGAAGCCAGAACCCACGGATATGTTGCGCAGGGGTGAGCTCCGAGACAGCCCAATGCAACTCGGTTTGGTCTCCAGGGCCTTGTGTTCAAAGCTCAGCAAAGCGTGTAGAACCGAAATGAACCGAGCTGTCAGAAATCAATCCATGCTGAATCCATGCTGAATCCATGCTGACTAGAAACTGATGTAACTGAACGATGTTGAACCTGTCTGAGGTCGTGGAATCCTAAAATTTGCACGAATGATGGTGAGATGCCCAGATGCCTACCAGAGGTAGGTCAGAAATGGTAAGAACATGTTTGAATAGGAGTGAATCCAGTAGCGTTACTGGGTTGTGGGTGGCAGCGGATGTTTGGATGGGGGAGCAATATTTGCAGCTTGGAAACTTGGTGCAAGTGCGCTGCGTTGTTGCAACCATTCCAAGCATTGAACTAGGCACAACGACGCGGTGGTGATATTTGCTATGCATTTGGAGATGAGGCTACCTACTTTTTGCTGTAAGAGATCGTAGCCAGTGCGACTTTCGAGTCAAGGTTCTTCCAACCAGTCTTATCCTTTTAACCAACTTTTTGTGGCTTTGGATGCTTTGGAGATGAGAGGCTCACAAGAACCCATCGATCTCCTTGCCCGTAATGCTGCTGGATCGCATATTCGTGTGGCTTCCCAGGTTTCTCATTCATTAGTGCCCTGGCACCACGTTTGAGAGCAAATGCGTGAAGCTAGTTTTGGTTCGGATGTGAACCGCGTTTCGATGTTTCGAAGAGGGTTTTCGCCCAGAGTACAGAGTAGTTTTCACCCTGTGTTGCATGTTTCAGTTTACCCGGTTTACCCTGTGCAAGTCACATGAAACACAGGTCGCTGACCAGAGTCATCCATTGCCAGTGGGCGACCCGGAAGAACCAAAGGTGGGAAATTGAAGTGGTGCCAATCAATTATATGAGAATATGGATGAGAATATGGATGAGATGTAGAGTGAGGACATCTGATTTGTCAGAATCATTTTTCAAACTTTTTCAAATACTCGTTTTTCGGATTCAGCATCATTCAGCCAATTTCAGCATCCGCAGATGTAATTCGCGGGATGGGATGGTGGTGCACCATCACCCCAGTCCGACAGGGTACCTGGCGCCTTGTGGATGGCAAGTGGGCCCCGACCTGAGAATGGAGAGAACGGAGATGAACGGAGACCGTTGAACAGAAGCTGCAGCTTAGATTTGAGACACTTTGAGACAAGTTTACTCATGTTTATTCATGGTTTATTCATGGTTTTTCACTTTTGAGAGCATTTATAAAATTTGATTGGGGGGTTCCATGGGGTTCCTGTTTCCGTTTCCTGTGAAGTAGCAAGGATATTCTGAGTTTTTCAATAATAAACACCAACACATCTACAGCCATTTTTGTGGGTGAACAAGGGTGAGCACATCGGTGAAGCATCCTAGCAAGCACTTTCGCCAAACCTTTGGCACCTTTGGCATGTTGCAAGCTGACAGGTGCCTATTGAACGCAGTTCAGTGACATTTGACACAGAGACCTATGCCGACAGCTCAGCGATAGCTGTTACCGTAGCATTGTCTTGGCCTTGCAGCCAACTTGGAGCATGATGTGAGTACTTGAAAAATAGTTCTTTGAGGATTGGTCCAGCACTGACAAATAGAAAAAAACAAATTTCGAAGGATTAGTCATGATTAGTCTACATAGCAAGGTGCTCTCCTGTATCAGCTTTCAGATCACAATCTCCAGTGTTGTCGTCCTTAGGGAGACATTCCGAGTCACCCTACTAAGACATTTCCTTGAAGGTTTGTAAGTGGATCATGCACAATATCGATATTAATATAGACAAACTTGGCCAGCTCTAAAGAGACAAGTGAATGGCCATGAGATGCCATGTGTACTTTCCCAGGAGTGTCTTGATCTGTTGGAGCTTCTACGTTCCTGGTTTTGAATGCTTGATCACTAGCGCGTTCTCTCCCAAAAAGCATTATTAACTCCTAGGTAACAGTGGTTTTGGCGACCAGCTACATTGACTGGCCGCTATCTCAGCAAACAGTGCAGTTCTGGACTGCACATGTTGAAACCGCTGTAGTGGCTGTGACGCTTGAGTGCATCAAATATCGGAGGAATGCCGCTAGAGGCAAAATAGGAAAAAAAAATGACAAACTGGCGAGAATTTGCCTGCGTGCAGCACAGAATCTCTTGTGCACAGTGCGACAAAGTGCCCATGCCAAGGACAAATTGGCAACTCTCTAGCATTCCAGGTCTGGGCGTACGTCTCTCAGCGCGAAGCCTTGCTCTCATTTGCTGTTGCACAAAGTCACCTATCGGGGCAAACAAAACGTGTCTTGGGACACTTGGGACACTTGGGACACTTGGGACACTTGGGACACTTGGGACACTTGGGACACTTGGGACACTTGGGACACTTTCCAAGCAATGATTTCGAGGCTTGTCATGGAAACACTCCCCAAAAATGATCATATGGTTTCTATAACTATATCCTATCTCACCGGTGAAGTAATCCACTATGGCAACAATCAATTGAACACTTTGACACAGCCTTATAGAATCTTATAGAATCTTATAGATACATACATACATATTTATACCTTGAGCAGTGCTTTGGTAAGGGTCTTCTGGCAGTTTCTTCGCTGGAACACCTGCACCGGTGCAACCCAATTCTTGTGGCTTCTCAGACTCCATAACAACTCACCACTAGCCCCCATTGCTTGCTCAGACGCTCTCGTTGGAAACCTTCTGGGGCGAGCAGGCAGGATGGTGGATTTTCTTCTTTAGAAGGTTTTGTCTCCTCGACCAAAGCAAGCAATTCAACTGGATTCAACTCAATATGATGGGTTGAGGGACTGGCGAGATACTAATTCAATCTAGTTACCTCACTGGAAAAGTGGAATTGAGGAAATCTTCATGCCATGAAAGAGCCTCACCGCAAAACAATACATGTCCATCAGCTGAGCTTCAAATCTACGCCGTTGGAGAACCTGACAAAGGAGAATGTATAAACTGTATGAATACTCTGCCAAAAGCCATCAAAAACCTTTGAACCAGGGCGCATGGATTGCACTTTGCGAAATGGAGCCTGACGAATCAGTCAAGCTGGCCGCCTCAGAATTTCGCTGAATGCTGTTGCAGAATTGCTGAATGCCGTTGACAAGGCAGTGCACTTACTTTGCAGTTCATCCATTTGTCTACATCCCTTTTCTACACTTCTTCGCCACAGAGCTGCTAGCGAATTCATCATACTTTATGTTTGGAGCTTTCTATTCTAAAGCATAACGGTCTCAGCACAATCACAGGCTATTGCAATGTGAACGAATTGAAAAACACAACCGAATAGCATCGAATAGGAGAGGTGTTGCCCAGAATGGCCGTATTGAAAATTTGATGGATTCTGCCACCAGCACTGCAAGCCAACCGTTCAACAGGGCCTACTTTCTGGAAGCGAATTTGGAGCCTGTGAAGGCAACAGGGATCAATTGCTGCCCTTTTGTGTGGAACTTCACTTGTGTCTTTGATGGCGTGCTGTGCATTTTTTTATCAAAGTGGGGGAGTACTTTTTTCTCGTCCTCTGCAGGGCTCCAGTTCTCCCAGACAATCAACTGTCTGAGTCCTAGCAATGATTTTGCCCATTCTTTTTCCCTATTTTGACTTCCGGCCATGTGTGGAATATCTTAAGTGGATCTGAGTGGATGTTCAAGTCCACGAAATGTGGAGATACGATTCATCATTCTTTGACCCTTAGTCTTCACTTGCCAGACATATAGTTAGTCTTTGCGCAGAAAAGATGGCCAGCCTTTCTAAGTGCATTCAGCAGACCTCCACCTGGAACTATTGACTTGATGTGACGGCACATGAGGTCTACAATGAAGATGAAGCTGAGAGGCTTTTTACTTTTGGCCTTCCCCGATAACAGGTTTGTTTCCGGTTTATTTCCCTCAAGTCTTGGTCCGAAGGACTACAACCATTGCTCATTTTTTTGTTGTCTTTGTGACGTAGCTTTCGCTTCAGCCCTGCACTGCTCAATTTGAGTTCTGTGTTGCAGTCATAGAGCCTGTAGGGATCTCGAACTTGCAGGGCACAAGAAGAGATTGTTGTTGCCGGGGAAGAGCAAAGCAAGGCAACTTTCGGGACATGGAACGCACTTTGGAGGCCAATGACGAAACGAGGTACAAAGACTAAGACACTCGTGAAGGAAACCCAAGAAGTAAACAGACAATCCTAGATCCATAATGATCCATGCACCAAGAGAAGGCAGGAGAAGGCAAGAGAAGGCCAAAGGATTCAGAGCTCATTTGCAGGTCTGTTTGAATTATTTTGAATACTTTGAAGTGAGGATTCTTTTGAAGTGAACGAACACTAGCTGTGCCTATCCTTCCTCTATCTTCCGCTCCAACTTGAAATATCTGCAGATGTGCTGACTTGGTTCATCTCCGAAGGCCGTGGGCCAACCAAGCAGCGAGGAAGAGGAAGAAGTAACTCGAAAGAGGTCGGAGAAAGATGGGGAAAGATGAGCTGAAGCGATTTACTGTAACTTCCAGTGATGTTGGGTATACTATCATATACAATTGATATACTATACTCCTGACATCTTACATCATCTTACAATATCTTACAACTATGTAGGGTGTTCGGCTTCACTTGTCTGGGCGGGATTGAGATTTTGTGGAGACTTTTGCCAGATCTTTTGTTGTGTTTTTTTTTGCCTCAAAGCTTATCCTTGCTACTGCATGACAGCTATGCTGCGGCTATGCATGCTATGAAGCCATTGCTCTTCAGGACTGCCTATGATTCCTCAGACATTGATGAAGAGGATCTTTCAGAATGGGTGCCAACAGAGCGTAGGGGGCCCAAGCATAAAAAAGTACAAGCAAATGCAAAAAAGCAGAGAAATGTCATCCGGTCGCGCAAAGATGACTTGCAGATGTCTGTATCTACTGTAAAGATGAGCCCATCTATGCACGCGGTCGATGCTGCGAAGGGTGTCATTTGAAATTCATTCCATTTCATTCCTAGATAGGACTTGGAGCTTGTCCGGTGCATCATGGTGCATCTATTTTCTGTTTAGGTGACTGGCTGCGACCTCCCACTGAAGGAGACCGGTTGGAGCGCGAGCATTGCATTTTTCACCGCCTCATGAGGTCCAGGTTATGACATTCGTCAAGTCATGCCATGAGTTTGGATCCAGAGTTTGCCTCTTCGGCACGAGTAAAATGACTGGATTTCGGATCAGTGGAAAATATCCTTGGCTTTCGTTATCTCAAAGGCTACAAGATCAGATATGACAGGACTCAATGGTGCCAACGGTCTCAATTCTGAAGAAGTGGCTCGTGCCCTTTGGCAATGATAATGCAGTACGATGGGAATCATCTATTTTTGTGCGCTTTTGTCACTACTGTTTTGATTATATATATATAGTTTTCTTCTGTGAAAGCTGAATACGAGACATTTCGCATTGTTTTGCTTCATGTCAGAGGAGCAACAAGCAAGGGCTTCTCCACTCATGTTTGTCAGTAGGATCCTTCTCAAAAAAAACACCTGATAGACTGGTACACAATACAGAGAGAGATTGGGAAGTTCTCATACTTGTACCGTGGAGAAAGGATTGAGGCGTGGTCTGGCTTAATGCATGACCTGTTTGGGGAGGAGAACATAATTCTAGTAACCAACGCAAACGGAACTCCGAGGTCAAAAAGATTGAGCCGGGAATCTAAGTTTTCTTGGCGACAAGCTGTTGCTCCTTCCACACAAGGTGCTTTTTTTGGCAATCTGAATACGCACAGGTTCATCATCTCTTGCAATCTCCTCTGGCAAATTGGTGGCTCTCACTCTCCAATCTTGCTTTTTTCTATTTTTATACCAGGCCTTAATTCGTAGGAGCACAATCAAATGGCGCAGCAATGAAGCACCAAACCACCTTTGAGGATGGCATTGGACGAACCAGAACCTGGAACTATGAAAGGATTGCGCCAAGGGCTTAGAACCCACAGAACCTGGAACCCGGTCACGGAGGTCACGGAGGTCACGGAGGTCAGTTGGCATGCCAGATTTGTGTGCGTCGAGCGCCAAGACAGGACATCTTTGCGCCTTGTCCTGTCTTCATATGTCTTCATGACATCTGGGAGACTCCATCTGTGCGCTCGGTGTTCCAGGTCATAGTCTCTCTGGCGACCTCCTTGCTTATGAAGACGAGGTGACAAGTCCATGGTTCTGCTGCGCTTGTGTGCAAAATTAGATACAGTATCGGTTGCAGATTTTTGCACACCGAGCACATATGTCCATCCCACACCTAAACTGTTGCCTGAAGACTTTGCAAATGCTGTCCTCAACCGTACGCATGCACCAATTTGGGCATGTTACTTTTTGTAGACGACACAGTATTTGCTTGTTGGTTCGTTGTTTGGTTTGGTTGTTTGTTTGTTGGTTTGTTTTTTCTTGGTTGGCTGGTTTGCTTGGTTTGTTGGTTTGTCCATTCGTTTGTTTGTGTTATAGAGCGTACGTTTTCAATGTGCACGTAAGCGCAAACATTCAAGTGATAAAAGGATTGCTAAAGCTATCTAAAGCTCATTAAAGCTCCATAAGCATCATAAGCTTCAAAAAGTGATGGAAAAGCTGTTTGGAACCCGTTTGGCGTTTGGGATAAGTTCTTTTTGCATCTTTTTGCCAGGATATGGAGCCACAGCAGGGACCACAGCACAACGGCAGTACTTCGGGTCTTCGGGTCTTCGGGTACTTCCAAGTTTGCTCCAGGCAGCCAAAGAGGATTCACGCAGTACCAGAGCCATCAGAACTATGATAGAACGAATAGAAAATAATAGAAACAAATAAACATGAATAATATATAGAACTGTTGAACAGAAAGAATAGAACTGGAAAGAACTGGATGTTGTTGTTTTTTAGCGTTTCAGCTCGTCTGTGTTGCATAGCTGCTCCCTAAGGCCGGACAAGCTGCGTAGTTTTCTCAGCTCGGTACCGGAAGTCTTGGCATTTCACATCGTGCATCCAAAATTTCACATTTGAAGAGGATTTTCGTTCCCAGATAGTCATAGCTGCCATAGCTCGTTGCGCAGCTTGTACCCTCCGCTCAGCTCGGCGAATATCTCGGCGAAGTGTCATGACCCTGACATTACCATGGTATTTGCTTGGGCCTAAGCTGACTGCCTCAGACTGCCTCAGACTGCCTCAGCTAGTCTCAGATTGCCTTGACCATCAAGACCTTGGTTTTGTCAAGACATCCATATCCTTTTGACGTTATTCAATGTTCACATATATGTTCACTTATTTCACCTTCAAGCTTGCAGGCCTCAAAATGCATTGGATTTGCACCCCCTGAATGCTTTTGTTGGTCTTGGTGATTGTTGGCCGGGATATGTGACGCAAAGTTGCTGAACGAACGCAACCATCTGCAGATTGCTGCAAAAACTATCAAAAACTCCTGAAACAGTTTCAGAACAAAGATGAACAGATTAAAAAGTGGAACAAGTTGAAAAATGTTAATTGTGTTCATGAGAGGCAAAGTGTTTTGACGTTTTGACACTGGGAGCCGGCGCAGCCCGATGGTGTCTATGCCTGAGGCGCACCAGTGCAGGGCAGCTTTGGTGGTGCATCTCTGTCGAGGCTGGCTGCATCCCGCTTGATCCGGCTACACAGACCTGACAGATCTGACAGACCTGACATGACCTCAGCCAGTAGCTCTATGTAGTGGATCATGGTGGAACTTGAATGAAGTTTTCTTATGTCAATCTGGCGAAATTGAAAAGAATTGAAGACTTGATCGGATGTTTATTCCGAAGTTTTCAGATCTAATAGCTATCAAATCAGGGGTGGCCTTTGTGCTGGCGAAGAGATCATCAAATTAGCCGCCTTTGTGAGGCGGGATATGGGCTGAGTCTTACAGAACGATGAACCAATGGAGATAAATAATTTTTTGAATATATTTGAGAGATTTTGAGAGATTTTGAGAGATTTTGAGAGATTTTGAGAGATTTTGAGAGATTTTGAGAGATTTTGAGAGATTTTGAGAGATTTTGGGAGATTTTGAGAGATTTTGAGAGATTTTGAGAGATTTTGAGAGATTTTGAGAGATTTTGAGAGATTTTGAATTTGCAGAATGGGATCCTTCACCTGCCATCGTGAAAGCAAGAAACACACCCCTCTGCCGGAGAGCAGAAACTTGCGGAAACCATAGAAGCTGAGGTGGAACTGAGTCTACCATACTAAAGCAATGCAAGGGGTAGTCTAGCAAGACCCCACACTCCCCCACTGAATAGTTCTGTCGTTTGCGATAGTTTGGGGTTTTCGGGCTCAGCATGGTTCAGCTCAAATTTTTAGTTTCTTGGCGAGATCCAGGCAAGTGGTCCAAAACATCGGTAGATGCTCACTGAGGCTGCAAGTAGCTAAGGTCAATATGCACAATTACTGAGTACAACCTTCTGAGGTGTAATGCATGTAGACCTAGAGGCCTCTGCATGGCAGCGGATTTTCATGTGCTGCTGGTCTGTCCTTCTGCTTTTAGTTGGGCCTCGATGTCCTCCAGCATCGCTGTGCTATAGATTTCTTGTTTCACTTCAGATGCTCACTTTTAGCAGGCTGTCGAGCCAGGGAAGGCACAACTTCTGCGATCCGGAACCAGTATCCAGGCTTGAGCTGCTTGGTCACCACTTGCTTACCAAAGATGTCCCTGTCCAACGCAGTGGTGACCAACAGTAGAAAGTTTCCGAAGATATACCTTGCAAAGGACATGGAGACGGCTCGTCGTCGAGCTACAGCCCTTCTGTGCAAGCTCGATCCAGTACTTTTGGATGAGCTGGGGCCTCAAACCTTCACGCATCCCAGCTACATCCAGCCATATCCAGCTATATCCAGCTACAATATGCTATAATTCAATCAGGGCAGAATGGGTGGACTATAACTGCTGGGATTGGGACTTTGCGCATGCAGAATTCTCCTTCTCAGCATTTCTCAGTCAGGATTCCATGCACTGCTCACCGCAAAGCCTCCGATTCCAGGTTTATCCGCATGGATGTTGGTCTGACGAAGCTGTTGCCGTCCATTGATTCAGGTTGGACTTGGTCCTGAGTGATGGCAAATGAACACAATCAGACTCCTTCAGAAAGACGGATTTGGCATATCAGGGGAGGGTGCTAGTTATGCTAGTTGTATTGTTTGGAAAAGAGAATATCAGAATGTGAAAAGAAACAGGTTCACGCGTGCTAAAGTAAACACAAAACAGTTGACATGAATTTATGAGATTTTATGAGAGTACAGCACGACTGGAGCCCCGGGTTGGTTATGCTGCAGGCTGGATCGGTGTTGTCGAAAGCGAAGGCCGCATAGTGGAGAGGAAAGTGTCCTTGGGAGAGGCAGGCAGAGCTTCACAATTTGCAACTTTTTTCGCGAACTTTTGAAATGAACTTTTTGAAATACAAAACAAACAATACATACAATACGAACACATTGTCTTTGGAAGAATATCATAGAATCTGTCCATCAGTACATCATTTGTCGCTCACGAGGCTCGCCCCAGTGATGCTGTCCTTCGCACGGGTGCACAATTGGTTTCAAAGAGTGCCGTCCTTCGATCGGCTGCAGACGCGGCAGGACGAGGCTGTGCCATTTCAGTTTCAGGTCCGTTCTGTTCCATGTACAGTATTTGAGCAGACCAGATGGATTTCGATGGATTGAATACATCAAGGTGCCTGAAGGATACACACACTTTGGTATCCCTGTCAACATGCTCTCAATTCATTTCAGCTCTTCTTTTGGAAACCACTGCCTATTTTTAGCAATCGCAAAGGTAATAAGGTTCCGCACGTGCCAGGTTCCTATCTAACGGATTTGGGTTCAATGGAGGATATGCCCCTTGCAGCAGCCTCAAGTTCTTTCAATGATTCCACAATGATGCTGAGTAGAGTGAAGACCTAAGATGGGAAAAGTCTCCTCCAGCAGCCTCACCACTTCAAATTCACCTTTTATAAACTCCGTCTCGAGGTATCTTGAGCAGCTTCAAAAGAATTCAACAGTGAATTAAAACTAAAGTCTTGAAGCAGAGCATCTAGAGAAAAAGTTTGAATGGTTTAGTGTCGTTGAGTGTTGCCCTCTGTAGAGCCATGCTACATGCTCAGGCCCTTCGTTGGAAGAGCGACACTGGTAGTGGATCTTGGATGGATAGGCCGGGCCTTGAGACTGAGCAGAACATCTTGCTTTATATATTTGATTATATTTGTATGATATTGTTTGTAAAAGTACAGAGACGATAGGTGATGTCACTGTCATTATGCTCAGAGCATATTATATACACAATTATACACATATGATGTGTATATATACGTGTATATCTATATATATATATAATATATATATATATAGTATATATCATTTATGTATTGTGTCTGAATCAGTGTCAATGTCATGCCCGTTGCCCAACCGAGGCCCCACGCCTATTTTTCGGAGGATTTCTTCGTTGAACTAAGTCGTGCCAAAGCTTGCAGGTCTGAACTAGCGGACAGACTGATGAACTAATGACCCATATCCAAAGATATCCAAAGGTCTTTGAGGATCTAAACTAAGCATTAGAGTCTATCAAGTCTAGCATTAGAAAGATCCTTTGGGGCTTTGGGGTATCTCTACTCAACCACCAGCCCAAGGGTGCACAGAACGAAGATAAAGCCATCTGGCATCTGCGCGTTTGGATCCATGGCGACAAAGTTGCTCGAACTGAGGTTGCAGTCGAGCCAGTTTCATGCCTGTAAACAAGTGCTCTTCCTGCTTGTTTTCAGGTGTTATTCGCACTTATAATATATATATAATATATAATATATATATAATATAATATATATATATATAATATATGTATATATATATATATTTACTCGGTCTTTCTCATTCAATGTCCTGCTTGGTATCACAATTCTTGCCACGGCCATGCCGGCATGCCCTGTGGGCAGGACAACGATCGCCGATGCACCTGCTGTGACGGTGCAAACACCGCAGCGGCAATTTGTTTTCTTGATGAGGCGTCCCAACGGCTTGTGCACCCCATTTCAAAGGAAAGGAATGGAAAACCTTTGTATCTCTTCAACGTGCCAACCAGCACTTCATCTAGGAGTCAAGTTGTTACAGTCAAAGCTTGCAAGTCATCACGAAGTCTTTGGTTGGCCAGGTCTGCAGAAGAAGCCAACAGGTGGGCCTCCATGCTCAAGGTGTCAGGAAACCCAGGTGTGAGTGTCCGGGGTGTCCGGGGTGTCACCCCGGGGTGTCCGGTCTAGCCGCTAGCCGGTCTAGAGGCCGGCGACTCCAGTGGCCAGAGCTTATATAGTGTAGGAAGGATCAAAGCTGCTGCGGGTGACACAAGGCAAACTCCAAGCCCAGCGACAGCAATGCCAACTCCGTGGAAAGACAGGCCCGTTTCGCGAGAAAACCTTGGTTTGGCGGGGTGATAATTTGATGGCCTTTTTTTGCATCGAGATAAGATATACAAGGCAATGCAAGGGTAATATGAGTCATATGGCAGAGGTGAATGATGGTGAATTCGTGTCTAAGACTGATCTATTCGATTCTATTCGGAGAATGCGTTTTGTTTGGTAATGTTTGGTCCATTTGGCACAGGTTGCGCCGGTGGCCAATCAACCGGTTGGTGTGCAATGACTTTGAGCTTTTCCTGGACAACGAAGATCAGGTGACCGTTGTTTCTGGCACTGCGCAGTCTGCGCAGTGTGTCAAATCCCGTTGCTGTTTTGCAAAGAGATTTGACTGTACATGTGCTGTTTCCTTCTTGCTTGACGTACAAGAAACATGCCTTTAAGCCTTTAATAATTTTTAATACAGATTGCCCATTTGAATCCATTTGAAACATATGTGAAACATATGTGAAATTTGTGAAGGCTGTTTGATCTCGACATGTGACATGTCCGTTTTCTGACTCTCACAATCCATGGATGGAACTTCTTGCAGCAAAGTACGGCACAGAGCCATACCCTGGCATCACTTGGCATCACTTGGCATCGGTATCTCCAGCTATATCTTGGACACTTGATATCACTTGATCACATGACACTGGAAGCTTATGGTATCTTGAAGTATCTTGAAGTATCTTGAAACATATTCAAAATTCGCAAAGTCTCCAGATGTCTCCAGGACCCCTTGGCTTTGTCACGCACCTAGAGCTCCTCGTGAATTATTCTTTGCAAATCTCTGCTACGGCTTCTCCAAGAATGTCAAGACCTGCTGCTCAGGTTACTTTCGGTACTAATCAGTCGGTTGAGAGATAGCTAATAACTCGTAAGTAGTGCTTTGTCTTAAGTGAGTTGCCTCAGATGATTTGAAAGTGATTCTGTATCAGGTAGTATCTCCAGGAAGGAAGACCACCTACCCCATGAATACCGACACTGGTAGTATCATCTGCATTTCGGATGTGATCGCGGAAGTGAAGCGGAGAGAAAGTGATGACATTGTCAGAACGTGATCTGTCTGAGTCCATTGAGGTCAGCAAAGCTGCTTCGACTGGCTGTGAGTTCGGACTTAGCACAGGGTGGACAGTGGGTTGCGAGGCAAGAGCTTCTCAAAAACCCAAAACATCATAACGCATCAGTTCTGAATCATAAAACATATTAAAACATCATAAGACAGTAAGACATCATGCCTTTGCATGGTCAGCACGAAACCATCATGACTTTCTTGTCCTGCGAGAATTCAAAGACAGCTTTGGCAATCCCAGGTCTGCAGGGCTGCTCTCCTAATGAAGTGCAAGATCCTTAGCAATGAGTGGAACGAGTGGGGCGTGCAGAGGAATATATTTTTCCTGGGCAACATACAACTGGAAGACACAACTGGAAAATCTTAGCCAGCCTCATGACAGAGTGGAGCCTGGGTAGCTTCCAAATACGGCATTCTCCAGTTGGTGTTGCATTGACGTATTCTTGACATAAGTTATCTTTACCGCAAAATGCCTGGATTTGATGTGGCATGGGCATGTGCCACAGCCATATTGTCAAAACGCCTTGACAGCTTTAATGTCATTTTTCTTTGAATCAGTGTCCAACCAGAACGCAGCATTCGCCCCTTCTGTGCTAAGAGACGCTCGTCATTCGTTTCGCTGAGTTGCACATTTGGCACATAGCTTTGCTGCCAGGGAACCCCTCATCAGCTTGAGCTGCAAGCTGAAATGCGTTGACCTCACTCCACTGGAACCACAGGACGCAGGGCAGCCATTCGATCCCCTTCCGATACTGTTAAAACTCTGTTAAATACGTTTGGTTTTCCACTCAACCAGTTCTATTCTCGAAGCGCTCGTAGGACCTCTGGTGCTTTTGGGTGTGGAGCCAAGCAACGTTAGAGGTCACTTTACCGATCTTTAATCCGTCACTTCAATGTGAAGCGTCCAATGGCGATTCACAGACAAAAGTCCAGTGCAAGAATTAAAAGACAAACAATTACAAAGCATGTCAAAAAATATCAAAACAATTCAAAACATATAAACACAAATCAAAGAACATGGCTCTATTTCTTTGATGCCTTTGTTCCAATGTCCAGATTTTGAAGTGGCCCGCACTTGTAGAAGTGTGGGGAGTAGAAAGGGAGTCCATGGTCTTTCCAAACCTGAGCCGGTCAAAGGTGAACGTCTACCACAGCCTTCTGGTGCAGTCTCTTATTGTTTGTGGCCGTCCTCGTAATGTCAGGCAAGGCCGACCTAGCCCGGTCGAGGTTTGTTGACACTGCAAGTCGCCATTAGGCCAAAGCCTGATCACAGTTAAAGAACATCAAAAAACACATACTGCACTTACGAGATCATTGAGATCCGAAGCTGGCGGGTGGTCAACTCTGTGGTTCATTTAGCCATATTTGGCCAGACCATCCATGACCATTTGAAGCGTATCCAAGCGTGGGATTTGGCCTCGCTTTCTTTGCTCGCCGAACGGCTGGAGAGTCTCTGAGGCACCTGATCTCTTTTTACAACAACTGCTCATACTTGGTGGGTGGCCATATCTTTTCCCTCGCCGAGACTTGCCCGCATTTTGATCATTTTGGACCTTTGAGACTTTGAGATCCTTTGAGGAGCTAAGGAGATTTCAAGGAAGTTGCCACTGTTGAGTTTGATCAGGGTGAATTGCGTGCATGCTGCTGCTAAGGAACTGGAACATCTTGTGCGGCATCCAAGATAAGCAACATCTTCCGATGTGGTTTGAGTAGAATCAGCCGTAGTTTCAATGGTGCATTCATTGCAATCATTGCACTGAGCAGACTTAGAATGCTGAAGGTACACGAAGATACCATGGAAGTTTTGTCACTTATGCTTGCTGAAGGTGTACTCAGCTTGAAGCTATGCTTGCTATGCTTGCTGAGATTTGCTATGCAGCTATGCTCCAAGGTGCTTCGAAGCCAGATGGCAAAAGCCAGTGCACGTTTGATGAATTTGCTGGTCCAAGCCGTGGCCTCAGGAAATCGGAAACCGGAATGAAGTAAGGACCAGCAAGGAGCAGATGCTCGGTAATGTTCAGTGACATTCAAAAATATTATAGTACATTATAGTACTATATCAAATATTCACACATAAATAATCACAAGATATTGGATATCACCGTTGACTGTGGGCGATAGATCAGCTTCTTTGTGCCCCAAGACTCTCCAAGATCCCTAAGGTTTGGCGGAGAGATGATAAGGAGTTCGAGGACCGCAACCTGGACCAAAAACCTTGAGCTGTCGCTGTCTTGACCCATCTTGACCCATCTTGACCCTGTCATTCCTTAAACATCCGTTAATTTATTTAAATTCCGTTCACCGTCAGCTCAATGTTGTTTCTTCATGTTTCTTCGTTTAGTTTACCCAATTCTCCTTGTGCAATTCTGGTTCTGTTCCTGGCTAGCCTCTCCCCATAAGCACCAGATGTTGCGCTGACAATGGATTCTGCTTCTTGAGAAAGTTGTGAAAGCATGTTTTTCAGCGCTTCTGTCATCTTCTGTCTATATGTGTTTTTTGACTCAGAAACGACTCAGTGGGAGGAGCGCCCGGCCCTCCGTGCGCCATACAATCCTAGCTCCAATTTTCGATGCCGGCCTGACTGGCGCCTGGCACCTTAGACAACTTGGGAAGGCAAGTCGTCTCAACTCTCGCAACATAGCTTCTGGCACAGAATGGTACAGATTAATTCCTTGAATTCTGAAGGACACTGGCGAAGATCAAGTACTTTGTGAATCTTTGTGATACTTTGCGTCAGGTCTCAACCTCGTCCTTTGCGCTGGGAATTTGGCCAGCAGTTCGAGGTCGGGTCCTCAATGCATCTCAGAGCACTCTGGAAATTGCTTCGCGATTTGAAGTCAAGACATCAGTAGCATCGGAAGCAGGCGGAGCTTGGGAAACTTCGAATAGCTTAGATAGATATGCATAGACTGAAAGTATCTGAAAGTGACGGAACCTGAACTCTATTTGCAATATGTGTTTGTAGCCTGTCAATTGTGCGTGTTGATACGTACTAGTTTGCGCGGGTACAAGCGGGCACAGCAGCGACAGTCTCTTTCAGTCTCCTTCTTGTGTGGTGAACACAAGCATCATCAAGGATGTTGTTTCAGGGGATATATTGAGACAACATATTACTATACTAGGCATGGAAGAATACAAACGTTTGGCGCTTGTAAATTCTCCCATTCCTCATCAGCCACAGCAGACATCAGTCAGCACCACCATCCGGGCAATCGCTGTAAGGCTACCAGTTTTTGACAAGATGTCAGCAGCAGCCTTCGATGCAATGATGAGCAAAACGATGGAGCATTTTCTTGGACCCCTCCTCAGTATAGGGTGTAGGGGTAGTTGTCTGCTGACAGAGCCAGTATCCTGATATGTATGTGTTCGTTGTGTCCATATGCCCTTTACGTGAGGAAGTTGAGAGCTTCTCACTAGCACTCTTTCTGAAAGGCTCCATGCCACATGGATGATACAATATTTTGTTTCGCATGTTTTGCATCCATCACCTTGTCATCCAGAGCAGCCATGATCTTGGCAAATCTTCCCCGAGCAGCCGTGTGACGTTGTGAATTTTGCGCTCTTTCCACCTACTGAAAGGCCTCCACCAACTGAAATGCCTCATCAACCAATATTCTCATTGGACCTGGTTGCTAGGTGCTGCTGGACGACTTGAGAAAAAGCCCATGCAGCTGCCATATGTGGGAGCCCAAAAGACACCTGAAATGCACTGCATTGGCACCGCATACTACATCTACGCCTGATACAGACCAGATCGGACCAGACGCTGACATTGTGCCAGGTCGCTGCCATTTGGTAATAGAAGGTGGAGAGACACACACACACACACACCCACACACCCACACCCGCACCCGCACCCGCACACGCACACACACACACACGCACAAACACGCATGCAGCAAACAATACGGAACCTCTTGCTTATATTGGCCTGACACGATACCGTACTGTTGTGGGGGGTTCAGTATACCTTAGCGGCCTGCATTTCTTTCGGTGCGTTCAAACAAATAATTGTGTTTCTGATGTCTTTTTTTGCAATGCAATTCGACGCACAAACGTGTCGTCGGTTTACTGTTGCAATAATATGCACATGTGTTTCAAGTATTCTGGTTGCTTCGCGGAGTGTTAGCTCCGGAGTTCCAATAAAGCCATACATATATGTTCTATGTTGGGCTGTGTTGGGCCCATGTTGGACCACGTTGGCCTTTGTTGCGCCTATGTTGGACCTACATCAGGCCTGTGTTGAGGCATGTTGGGCCATGCAGGGCCTATGTAGGGGCCATGGTGAATTTGTTGGGCCTATAATAAGTCATGTTGGGCCATGTTGGGCCTATGTTGGGCCCATGTTGGGCCATGTTGATTTAGGTCATTCTATAAACGTGGAAAAACACTGGATTCTAGTACTAGAGCAAAATAAGCACACCCCCAAGCTCAAGCTTAATAATGCTTAATACTGTAGCCATTGCAATTCCTTCGGGATAATGTATCCACACCAAAACATGCTTCTTCACCTTCGGTGCGGGCAGACTTAGGGCTCTTCACTTGATGTTTGGTTTAGATTCACTTGCTCGAACCTGCTGCCTATGGATAAGATTCCAGACCAACACATCGTCCAAACACACCTGAAATTCAGCCATGAAAACAATCCTTGATTGGATTGAAATGGATTGAAATGGATTGAATATGCTCAGTCGGACATTGGGAATTTTGATCGCTTGGATTATGCACAACCACGAACCATAGGTTCTGTACCGTTTTCGGCAAGATGCGCCTGGACCTCCCACAGAAGGGTTGCTCTGGCTTCCTTACAGACTTTGGCATGGTCCAAGACTTGCAGAAACAAATTAAATCCAGATAATCCAGCAATGCAATTTCGAAAGAGGATCCTCTGAAGACAGATGCGTACCATAGGGTGGTCTTGCCAGGCATGAACGACGTTGGGCAACAGCGTTGGCGCCCATTCTTGGGGACGTAGACCGTATCGTTGGTGGCCCCAGACAAAGTGAGATAGTTGAGTAGTGACAAGATTGAGCTTGAACAGAAGGTCTTGCATCACTGCTAGTAGTTTAGAGAAACTACAACGAGAATGGCGGTCCATCATCCTCTAAAAAATGCATTAGATTTCAAGAGGCCTCGCCGGCAGCAACATTAAAGGACCTGATCAGTTTACTCCCTCCTCACCTGCACTTTTGAAACGCAGTCTATCCCAAATGAATTGGAGTCGGACAAGCCACACCGCAAGCCCATCATTGTTGATTCAGCGCACTTGAGGCATATCGCAACTCCTACAATTGGACGATGCGAGAGCGACTAGACCTAATGTGAAGCGAGACAAAATGGCTTGCAGTGTGCAGAAGGTTTCGTTTACACTGAAGCTTTGCCAGTGTCGTTTGACGCGATTGATTACAAAATCCTTTCAAGAGTGATGCGGATAAGTGGGCACCAGCACCAAAGGATGCTCAATATCTGAAATGATCTGAAGTTATTGTTTTCCACGGCTTCAACGCAAAGTGGTCAGTGTGTTCGCTGCATGGTCTGTCTGCTGGACTTTGGTTTGCTGAGAGGCCATTCGTTTTATTTGGATGACTTGAAATGACTTGAGTATTTGCAGCGTTTCTCAGCAAAGCTAGATTCTAAGGGATTCCTCCTGTGGCCCTCAGATAGCGCAGCATACGGGCTTAGTATGTTATATACCCAACATACAGTATTTAGAGTTCCATAGTTGTTATTCTTTCAGAATGTAAACACTATGTACACAGCATGACACAGACATGCACGCTGACAAGAATATGACAGAGGCAGAAACAATTTCTCATTTGGAATCGGTCGAGTTGAGCATGTGTGGCAGATTGGCGGAGCAACTTTCTTTTGTATTTTTCGATTTGTGGACAGCTGCACTGAACCGACTTGGAATCTCGCGAATTGGCGGGAGATTGGTCGGATTCCTCAAACACATCCGGGGAGCGGACAATCTCGCACTCGGAACGAAAGTGTTGCGAGCGTCAGAATAAGCTTTCAGCACTTTGAAAGGTTCGCGCAAACTGTGAAGCTAAGACAGATTTGTTGTCAAACCATGTCCAAGCCCTGGTACAAGTTTTATGATGACAAGTCGTCAAACTTGTGTTGGGATTGCGAGCATGCTTCCAGTAGTGCAAGTTTTGAGATCAGTTTCACATTGAAAGCCCACTGCGAGGCTACACAACCTGTCCAAGTGCTTGCTTTCCGCCTTCTCTTCCTGGTCTGAGAATATGTCGACTGGTGTCAGATCTTTGACTTAGGTCGTTTCTTATGGAGATGTCACGCATGCTGGTACTTGTGCTCTTGGCTCCGCACTCAGTAGAACTACTTCAGCCAAGAGAACCCTCGCTTTAAGCTTTAGTGCACAACGGCTTTCCAATGCAGAGTTTGCTCTTTCACAACACGGCCGCTGAGTATGTCTTGGCTCAGCACAAAACACAAGCGGATACAAAGTACATATAATGTAGTACTATCTCAAGCTAGCATATTGCCCCCCGCACACTTGAGTCATCTGAACTCAAGATCATGAATCTTCGCATCTTTTCCAAACAGGTGACATTGAAGGGAACATGTTGAAATTCAGCGTTCCACTGTAGATCCCCCTGGCACTGACATGGTGGACTACTCCAAGTTCAGCAAGATCGAAGACAGCGATGAAGAGCCCATTTGGCAAAGTGAGGTGAAGACCTCCAAGGCTTTGTCCCAGCAAGTTCTGGACGAACTTGACAGTAGTGCTGAACGTTTAGCATCTCGGAGTCGACCCTGTCATTGTTTTTTCGACTTTTCAGTGGACCTGGAGAAGTTGAAGGTCTATGTCCAGGAGATGGAAGATTCTGGCGCAAAGCTGCCCGAGACGCGTTACCTGGGCCGAGTAGTCATTGAGTTGGATCAGGCAGTCCATGCACCGAAGCTCTCTGAAAACTTTCGGTCGCTTTGCACCGGGGAGAGGGGAATAGGTGTTGGTGGCCATCGACTCTGCTACCAGGGAAGGACTTTAGATTACATTTTGCCAAAGTATTGTGTGCAGGCGTCCATCCCAAACGAATACTCCTGCTGGGGTTCCTATTTGCCGGATGAGAAGCTGACTCTTCCACATACTTCATTTGACAGGCCTGGATTGGTTGCAGTTGGCAATCATGGTCCTCATACCAATAGCTGCACCTTTATGATTACGTTGAATGAGGCTTCACATTTGGATGGCTTCAACCAAATCATTGGCCGGGTAGTTCGTGGTATGGAGGTGCTTCGCCAGATTGAGGGCTTTCCGACTGATCGCAAGACGCAATCCTTTGCAGAACGAAATGTGAAGTCCCACTGGGGTGGTCGCCCCATGGTGGATGTGATTATTGAGAGTTGTGGCGAGATCACCGATGAACAAATCGCAATCCCACAGCCTGTGGACGGTGACGCCTTCCCAGAGCATCCACTGGACTTCAGCGTGAAGAGTGACGAGTCAGACCTGATGTTTGCCCAGGAGCGGCTTCGAGAGATTGGCAATGAGTACTTCAAGAAAAATCAATACAAGTTGGCCTTGGCAAAATACAAAAAAGCACTGGCATACTTGGAGCCCCTTCTCAAGAAGCAGAGCAGGAAGGAGTTTGCTGAGGAGGAGCCTGCAACCTTATTCTCAGGTGCGCGGCCCAAAGATCGCACTGAACCTGTGAAAGCGGATTGCACTTTGAAGCTCAACATGTGCCAAGTCCATTCAGCTATGGGGGACTGGCGTGCAGCCATCACCACAGCCGATGGTGTCCTTCAAGATCTTGTTGGCAAACACTCCAGGAAGGGCTATGGAGCTTTGCCCAAGGAGTCAGTCGTTGCCAAGGCCTTCTTCCGCCGCGCAAAGGCTCGCATTGGGCTCTCAGATGTGACTGGGGAGGTTTCCCAGTTAGAAGAGGCAATCGATGATCTGCGGCAGGCATTGCAGGTGGAGCCAGCCAATGCAGAAATCAAGAGGGAGTTGGACAAGGTTCGGGTCAGACAACGTGAAGCTGATGAGAAGAATCGTGCTGTTTATGAGAAAATGATCCGGACGCAGCAAAGCTGAGCAAAGCTGATGCTTAGGCGCAAAGCTGAGGAGTTGGATCTTCCCTCGAACTGGAAAAAGGATTGCCAGTGCACTTGCTGCACCATGTATTCTTAGCTCAGCCGAACCTCGACGAAATGCACAGTAAACTGCATCATGCAGTGGAAGCTGCGCCGAAGACCATGTCTCCAGCTTTTCATCAGCTGCTAAGACACAAGTTGATTGAAACCAGTACCACATTTCTCGCGTTCAAAGACTTTTCTCATGTTTCAGCTAGCGACATTTTGACCCGAGGCGACAGCACTTGCCGAAGGCAAGCCCAAGAAGTATCCGCAACACACCTCCAAGGTGTGCTCCGTGCTGAAAATGTGAAGCAGGATCTCTGTTTTGCGATTTCCATTGCTCGATACATTGTTGACAAGCTGGAGCTGGTTTCTGGTCTGCAATCTTGGTCTCTCCGCCACCGCGTTTTTTTTTCCTCTCTCTCTCTCTCTGATTTATAATATTGTGAATTCAGCATGCCTTTGACCAAAGCATTGCCTTGTGACTTCAGGTCTGACATGTTTGCATAGCCTTTTAGGCGCAGATGATTGCCCTTAGGTGGGCCTCGCAGTTCCAGCGAAAAGCGTCCGTGCTCCATCCGCTACCACTGGGCTGAAGCTCAGTGGTAGCGGAGCCTGATGGCAAGCGATCCCGCTGGTGCACCAGCGACCTTTGGCCGAGAGCCACCACCGCCGGTTTGGGACGGCAGCGAGCCTGGGCTCCTCTTTGCTGTGTATGAGAAGAATGTGAAATTGTGGCAGTTCGAGACTGAGCTGGACACGAAGAAGCAAGGTGTCCGGCTCCTGAGGGGCTTGACGGGCGTTGCTCGTGCAGCGGCTGACAGCCTTGAGTTCGAGCAGATCGCCGATGAGAAGGGGGTGCAGAACATCCTTCAGGTGCTGAAGGGGCATTTTGCTCCACATTTGGAGGTGTCGCTCCCTCGAGCGTTTGAGAGGGCGGTGTATGGAGCCCCGCGTTCTCACAAGGAGGACATTCAGGAATACCTCATCCGATGTGAGAGGGCATTTCACCTTCTTAGCAAAGAAGGGGTATCACTGCCTGATGCAGCTGTCGGCTATGTGATTTACCGTCAGGCTGCGCTGTCGGAGAGCCAGGAACTCCGCTTTGGCGCTTGGGCTGGTGGCAAATACGACAAGGCAACAGTTCTGTCATGTCTTCGAAAGTTGGACAAGGTTGTCTCCTCTGAGAAGGGGAAAAGCTCAGTGGCATACGTGCAAGAAGATGGCGATGCTGAAGGCCATGACGCAGAAGAGTATGATGATGGAGAGGACGGTGAAGAACAGTATGTCTTCTTGGACGAAGGCGACATGGACCGCATCTTCGAAGAGCCGGAGATTCAGGTGGTGCTTGCCTCCTATCAGGAGGTTCGGAAGGCGATCCAGAATAAGCAAAAGGGCAGGCAATTTTTCAAAGGAGGAAAAGGGCGAGGCTCACCTTGGCAGAATTTTACCAAGGGCAAACAGAGGGTCCACGTGGAGCAGTTGAAACTGCGCACCAGGTGCGCTCGGTGCGGGGCCATTGGGCATTGGGCTCGCGAGTGCCGCGCGCCTGAAGATCAGCGCGGCCGCCTTGCAGGTGCTGCCATGTCATCGAAGACGTCCGGCTCATCGGCACCGAGCACTACAAGTGGTGGTCAGCAGTCTTGGTATGTGGCATCTGAACCAGGTGGAACCTCGTCGTTTTGTTGTTTAAGTTTTTCTTTTGAGTGTAGGGGAAATGACACTCAATCAGTTTCTGAGTCCAAGTGTTCACGCAATGCATGTTGGGAATGCAGCAAAGAAGTTGGATCTCAGGATAGATCTCTCGGTTGTGATGTGAGAGACAGTTTAGATGTTTTTGTAGGGTCAAAATTGGCATTTTGTCAAAGCGACCAGAGCCGAAGTCACCACTATTTTGTCGGCCTGACAACTTGCCCGACTATGGCACTTGTGGACACAGCAGCTCAAGATGGGCTAGTTGGTCGGGAAGCTTTGCAGAGGCTGTCGCAAAAGTTGCAGAGTTTTGGTTTGAGGGTGAAGTGGACAGATAAGAAGGCAAAAGCGCATGGAGTAGGAGGTCAAGCAGAGGTTCATGGAATAGCAGCAATACCATTAGGGTTAGCAGGATCTTCTGGTGTTTTGGAAGTGACAGTTGTCAGTGGAGATGTACCTCTTTTACTCCCCATCCGCATGTTGAAAGAGTTGCAAGCTGTGATTGATTTGGAGTGCAGCCGCATGACATTGAAACGTTTGAGACAGTCAGTTGAGTTGCATACCATGCCGAGTGGACATGTTGCGGTTGACATCCTGAATTTTGGTCCAGAAGGTTTTTCATTCCCTCAACAAGCAAGAGACGTTGGATATGCAGAACATGATTTTCGTTGCGACGGAAGCTCAGGCTCGAGTTGCGTGATGCTCACCCATTTGCAGTCTCTTGCGACCAGCTTCAACCATGGTGGATCGTTTAGCGCTGTTCCGCCGTGCCTTCAACCGGAGCCCTGGAGATGTTACGATGGCAAGTGGGGGTACGGTGAGTATGCACCACAACCCCAGGAGGGCAATGGCACATTGGAGGCAATTGCTGGACAAGGTTTCTCTTGTGCAGACCTTGGTTGGGCTGGAGGAGTCAGTGAATTCGTGGCTTCCGTCCGGTGCGACGGGAGCGCCAGCTTCGTCTCAAATATCCTCAAGGCAGTTGGCAGAGTTGATCCAAGACGCACCCAAGTTGACGCCGCTGAAGACCAAGGTTGCTGCGTTGGTGGAGCCAGAACACTGTGCGCATGTGGAAGAGCGGCTCACAGCGGCATCCAACCAGTACCAGACTTGGGCCATATGCTGGGATTGTCACTCCCGTTGGAAGCTTCCAATGGAGTGGCATCGGACAGCCAGTCCGAAGAAGCCACGCGCCAAGACAAGCGCGTCGAGCTCAGCGGCAGAGGCATTCAAGAAGGAGATCCAAGGTCGAATGGAGGCGGAGATGCGAGCAGAGTTTGCACACAAAGTCCAAGAGCAAGCCTTGAACAGCCAGAGCATGATGCTGCAGCTGCGCTCGACACACGCCGAGGTCGACCAGATGAGGGAGCGTCTGAGCAATCAGGCAATGGCCAACTTGGAGGAGATGGGTCAGTTGCAGTGTGCAATCGAGGAGGACACAAGGATGAAGGCACAGCTATCTCAGATGAGGTGGAATCAGGAGGTGCAACAGATCATGATGAACGAGTACGCCACAATGGCGATGGGACAGAGGTTCCAAGATCACCCCGACTTCCATCACAACGAGATGCACATGTATGCAGAAAGAATTCTACGTGCGGAGGAGGAGACCCGGAGGGAGTCCAGGATTGCGGAAGCCCTGCGCATGGAGAGTCAGGAGGAGGCGTTATCCCGGGGCAGCAGAATGGTGAAGAAGCCACAGAGCAAGTCTCCGACAAGGTCGAGAGCGGCATCCCAACCCAGGAGGTCTGGGTGAGGCTGACAGGAGATGGAATGGCTGAACGTGTTGAGGAGTTCAGTCGCTGTCCGCATTTTGGCATCCAGGATGTGTTTGTGAAGGATGGCGATGAGGCCTTTGCGATTGCTGATGTTGAAGAGCTGGTTTTTGAAGATGAGTGTTTTGTTGTTTTGCGAAAGAGTGCCAAAGATGCGGCTGAGGATTGGCTTCCAGAGGTGGAGGAAACAGCACTTCCCCGCAAGACCAAGAAGCAGCTGCGTAGGGCCTTGAATGATGGAGTTATGAATCAAGTTTTCGCTGTCGAGGTCAGCGAAGAGAGCAGCTCACCGAGAGAGGTGGCTGAAGTCTCCAGTGATGAAGTTTCCAGTTCAACATGCGCTGTCGAGGTCAGCGCAAATGATGGCGTACCGAGAGAGGTGGCCATCGAGCAGGGTGCTGAAGATGCACTCGCTGTCGAGATCAGCGAGGTTTATAGCCCGCCGAGAGTGGCGGCTATGGCAAAAAGGTACAAACTCAAAGTTGGGAAGTCGTACGACATCTTGACGGGGTACGACCTGCGGCTCAAAAGAGATTTGAATCGAATGTGGCGTAGTCTGAGTGAAGATGAGCCAGAGCTGGCCGTTATCAGCCCGCCGTGCACGCCGTTCTCCCCACTCCAACAGTGGAACTTCCCTCGAATGCTCTTTGAGAAGGTTGCCGTGATGATTGGAGAAGGTTTGCATCATGTCTCCATAGCATGCAAGGTGGCAAAGTGGCAGCATTCTCATGGGAGGTTGTTCGTCTTTGAGCACCCTAAACCTTCAAAGGCTTGGGATGAACCTGAGATGTTGGAGTTGATGATGTTGCCAGGCGTCTATGTTTGCGTGGTTGATCAATGTGAGTACGGCTTACAAGTCGGATCTGGGCTCAACAAAAAGACCACTCAGTTTGTCGTCAATTCAATCCACATAGCTGCCGAGCTTCAGCGCCGCTGCAGTGGCGAACATCAACATGAACCATTGACCAATGGTCGAGCGGCCAAAGCGGCCATTTATCCACCAGAGCTGTGCAGAGCTTTGATCCGAGGCTTGAAAAGGCATCTTCGGGCCAAAAGAGGGCAAAACTCAGTTTTTCTTGAAGTTCCAGAGGAGATAGCTGTTTTAGCTACGGGCAGTCAAGCAGTTGGGCATGAGTTGGATGAGTTTGAGGACATACTGCCTCAAGAGGTTGCCGAGCACAGACAGGCAACCAGGGCTGCTAAGAGACTTCAAGTGGCTGAGAGAGCAGAGGTAGCAGTTGCAGAGGAAGACAAGCTCAAGATCCGAAAGATGCACAACAACCTGGGTCACCCTGCATTAGACAGTTTTGTCAGGTTTCTGCGTGCTGGAAGAGTACGTGATGAGGTGGTACGATGGGTTCTCAAGGAGTTCAAGTGTGAGACATGCAACAGTCAAGCTATCCCCAAAGCTCCAAGACCTGCTGTTGTCCCAAAGTGCTACAAGCCTGGAGTTGCAGTGGGGATAGATCTTTTCTACATTCCTGACCCTCAGAACGTCAGGTCACTCCCAGTGCTGAATGTGGTGGACGTTGGCACTAACTACCAGGTCATTGAGTTGCTGGAAAACAAGGATCCACTCAGCGTTTGGCGAGCGTTTTGGGCATGCTGGTGCAGAGTTTTTGGGGCACCCCAGTATCTGACGGTTGATGAGGGACTCGAGTTCAGAGGCGAGTTCACTCAATGGTGCTCAAACTATGGCATTCTGATCTTTAGATCAGCAGCTCGGTCTCCCTGGCAACAGGGCAAAGTGGAGCGTCATGGTGGCCTGATGAAGACTATGATCGAGCATGCCAGAGCAGCGACACCCATTGAGAGCGTTCAGGATCTCAAGTTGCTGTTGCAGGAGTGCGAAAGCGCAAAGAACAGGTTCATGAATCGCTCAGGATATAGTCCGGTGCAGAGGCAGATTGGGCAGTGGCCTCGTCTGCCAGGGTCACTTATGAGTGATGAGTTCTTGGACCCGGCGCTTCAGCTTCAGAACGCGTCGGACGAGTTTGATCGTCTGCTTGAGCTCAGGCGTTTGGCGCAGGAGGCCTTCGTTGAACTTGCAAGCAAAGAAGCAGCTGTGAAATCATTGAGGGCGAGATCAAGGCCACAGCGGGTTTTCAAGACAGGCGATGTGGTGTACGTGTTCAGAGCCCTTCGGAAGAAGAAGAGTGTGCATGGACAACAAGCAGCCCGAGGCCATGGCATGGGCCGCAAAGCCACTTGGGTCGGTCCTGGACATGTTCTTGCGCTTGAAGGTTCTGTGGTGTGGATCAATATGTTTGGTGAGTTGTGGCGAGCTTCTGTTGAGCAGACGCGTGAAGCCACGACCATGGAAAAGCTGGGAGTAGAGATGGTGGCAGAAGGTTTTCAAGAGATGCAGGAGAGGTTGAAGAGGAGTTCACATAGAGCGGGCTACAGAGATGTAACCCGGGACATGGAAGAGCTTGATGTTGAGGAGGAAGGAGAGCAGCGTGGTCAGCCAAGGGTCCGTTTTGCTTTGCAAGATGATGTGACCACCCATCCTGCACAAGGTCCTTCATTGCCGCTACAAGATCTGCCTGCCGTGCCTGAAGAAAGTGACGAAGAGTCAAATGAGGGATCAACACCCCATCATGATACCAGAAGAGCCTCAAGGGTGACTGTGCCTGAACCAGATGCAGAAGGTGAAGTGATTCAAATGAATGAGGCCGATGTTCAGAGAGAGTTTGACAGGCACGCAGAGGAGGAAGCAATAGAGAGTATGGCAGAGTCGGTTCAGGCAAATCAGACTCTTGACGGTTTGATCAATGGCTATGAAGCAGCTAGGCAAGCCGTTACGTCAAGATGGCAGCAAAGAGGAACAGCACCTTACTTTGCCGAGTTCTTTTTGCAGACCGATGGTCCTGAAGCAGATGAGGTCGAGGAAGATCCCAAGCGGGATTATTGGGCATATGATGAGTGCCGAGGCATTTTGCAACGGCACCATGTGCACTGGCGCAAAGCTCTCTTCAGCCCAGCACAGACTGAGGGTTGTCCAGTTCCTTTGAGAGCAATACGTGCCAGCCGAAAGACACAGAGGATCGAAGCCTCAGGAGAGGTTCATGAAGTTTCAGATGAGTGGTCCCTTTTTACAAAGAAAGAAGATCGACATACGTGGTGGAAGGGCATCACAGAGTTTGCAGTGGACAAACATTATCTGCAAACGTTCAAAGGACCACAGTTCAAAAAGCGAGGTGAAGGCGAAGTGTTTGCACATGAGATCCCGGCTGAGGAGTGGCCGGAATGGAAAGTCCAAGATGCAGAGGAGTTTGGAAAGATCGTTTCAAGTGGCGCTTTGAGGGTTCTGAGCGTGGAAGAAAGCGCTCAGGTACAGAAGGACCTTAAAGAAAAGGGTCAACTCAACAGGATTTTGCCAAGCAGGATGGTCAGGCGTTACAAACCAGGAGATAGCCCAGGAGCGCCAAGGACGAAAAAGTCTCGGTTCTGCATCCGAGGAGACAAAGACCCAGACATAGCTGACCTGTCGCGGTTTGCACCGACAGTCACCACCTCCAACTTGCAAGTGCTTGTTCAGGCAGCCATGAACAAGAAGTTCCGTGGCATTGTGGGAGACCTCAAGGCGGCTTTTACACAAAGCATGCCGCTATGCCGCGGCGCTGGGAAGCTTTACTGCAAGTCAAGCGAAGGCAGTATGCCTGGTTTGATGGAGGGGCAAATAGCAGAGATTGTCTTGGGTTGCTATGGTCTTTGTGATGCTCCGATGCACTGGAGAAAGACTTTGGTGCGGTTTCTCAAAGAAGAGCTGGGTTACAAACAGAGCTGCTTAGATCCTTGCACCTTTCTTCTACATGGTACAAATGGTTTGCATGGAATGGTGGCGGTTGAAATAGATGACCTGCTGATGTTTGGCGATGAAGTTCACGAAGCAAAAATGGCTTTACTTCAAAAGAAGTTCACGTTTGGGAAGATTCAGACCATTGATGAGAGCGGTGTCAACTTTAATGGCAGGAGATTGCGCCGCTTCGACGACACGATGGTCATTGACATGAAGGCCTTTGTGGAGGAACGATTGAGTCCTGTGCCCTTGAGCAAAGAGCGCTCGAAGCAGAGACAGGAGAGATTGACGGAGGAAGAGATCGGGGAAGTCCGCAAGACATGCGGGTCTCTGAACTGGGCAGGCCGTGAAGGTCGACCTGATGCGGCAGCTGCTGCATCCATGTTCGCATCTCTCATGAAGGAGATGACAGTCTCCGACGTCCTCGAGCTGAACCGCGTTGTGGAGCGCCTCAAGCAGTCCTCGGAGCTGGCATTGAAGATTCAGCGAATCGAGGATATGTGCTGGGGGGTCATATCTGACGCCTCTTGGGCCAATGCAAGAGGAGGCAAAACACAGGGCGGGCATATGCTCGTCACATTTGACCGGAGCATGCTGGATGGTCATCGAGCAGTATGCAACCTTCTGCATTGGAAGAGTGGAAAATTGCATCGCACAGTCAATAGCACGCTTGCAGCGGAGACGCAATCACTGGCGAGAGGAATAGGAGACCTCTTGTGGATGATGGTGATGTACTTCGAGATCACCATCCCAGACTTTCAATTGCGTGACTGGCGGAAGCATATCCATCGGAGCGGGTACACCGCCTTTTCCAAGAATGAGGAAGAGCAGATGGCTGACGCATTGGCTTTGGTGGATGCGAAATCTCTCTATGACTTGCTAGCGCATGAGACGAGTGGCGGCAATGATCGAAGGACGGCTCTGGATGTGCAGATGTTACGAGAAGAATTGAGCGAGTTGCACGGTAGGATCCGTTGGATAGATCATGTCCACATGCCAGCAGATTGCCTGACGAAACGTTCAGGCAGAATTGACTCGCTTTTGGAGATGTTACGTACAGGGAAGTTTGGCATCACCGAAGAGTCTGCAACCTTAGAGAATAGGCTTGAGACGCGTAGGCAAACTGGATATAATCGTAGATGATCATGCTTTGGTCAACATAATTTTCTGGGTGCTGTGAATTCAGCATGCCTTTGACCAAAGCATTGCCTTGTGACTTCAGGTCTGACATGTTTGCATAGCCTTTTAGGCGCAGATGATTGCCCTTAGGTGGGCCTCGCAGTTCCAGCGAAAAGCGTCCGTGCTCCATCCGCTACCACTGGGCTGAAGCTCAAATATATATATAGTTATATATATATAAATATATTATAATTATATAATATGTGTACATACATACTCATACACATACAATACATAATACATATAATATATTATATAGCATCTTTATATAGCATGGTAATTCCTTGCCTTTTCGCTTGTACCTTTGATGTTCGAGGGCGTGAATTCTCCGTGTGTTTGGTATGAGTCTAGACGAATCCAAATCATTCGACTGATGCAGCGCGTTTTCCGCTCGTGTGAAAGCTGTGGCCAGGTGCATTGGAAAAAGGAGGGCGAGTGTTCTCGAGGTCCTTGTGCTGGGTGCCTTTGCGAAGTGCGGCTTGTTGCCTCACACCTTCATGTTATGACTTTGGGCTCACTGGAAGTGCATTCAGACAGTTCGGAAATACACGTACGACCAAAGCGAAGATGCGATACGAAGAGCAGTCAAAGGTATAGAACGAGAGGCACAACAAGGGGGAGAGAATGGCTAGAGATACCCCTATCTTGCGTAGAATGCCGAATTCCGTGGCATTTCTTTTTCTACTTGTTGAATCTTTTTGATCTGTTTTGCATTAAGATGGCTCCTTTTAGCTTTCATGGACTTTCGTTCCAGATGTTCCTTCGATTCAAAGGTTTCACTCTGACGAGAATGACGACTGCATTAGCAAATGCGTCTCCAACGCCTGCCATGCAGAGGACCATTCTTGGGAACGGAACCCATTGTTTTTGCTGCTTATTGCCATAGATGTGTGCCCTCACAAACTCGGACCTGCAGACTGCTACGTCCGTGATTGATAGTTTCCAGCTTCGCTGTGCTGTCTTCGCGCTGATCATATTCATTTATACATCCCAGCAGTTTTATTGATAACAAAACGATACAAGAGCATCTTTGGATCCATCCGAAGAGTTACGTTCGGGGCTCGGCGCCAAAATCGGCAATTGACACAAAAGTTCTGGGTTCTTCCTACTTGCAGGAAGTCACACAATGTGAATCCTTCCCACAGGGTCAGAGACAAAACGCTGAAGCAACAGTGCAACTTGAACAAGATAGGACACCATGAGTTGAACAGGGAACAGTGGAGCAGACTAAACCGCAAAGTATCAATGATAGATACAATAATTAGATGTAATTAGATAATGATAGATATGATAGTCGTTGTTTTTTTGAATTGACTTTGGCGGAGACTCAAAGCTGCCACGTTGAGAGGTTTTTGGCGAGGAGCCCTTGGAGCCTGGCGAGGTGGACCGTGTCAGGCAGAGCAGGCCAGAGCCGCAGAAAAACATCCATTACTTTACTTTAAATTAATATTTATGTATAAAATATAATATACATATATACGGTATACGTATATATATATACATATATATATACATATATATATATATATACATAGATATATATATACACACATATATATGTATGTACGGATGTTATATTATATTATATTATATTATATAATATTATATTATATAATATTATATTATATAATATTATATATATATGTATATATATATAAAAGGGCGAACGCCCTGGTGCCGCCGACCCCCCTTTTTGGGGGGAAGTCGAGCCGCTCCTTAGTTTTGACATGGTGGGATCCAAGGAGTGCAGGGCATAACAGGAGTATCAGAGCTACTCATCCTTTTGCATTTCAGCAACTCATAATTCGGAGGCGTCTAGATTTTGTACACTAATGCTTGAGCCCAGAAAAGCATCTAAACATACCCAAACACGCACAGGAGTTGCACTAGATGGACTTTTTCCAGTGAATAACGGAATCAGGGGTATATTATCTATATTTAGAAAGAATCACATTATTGCTATTGATATTGCAATTTGGCGTATTTTCCCACTCGAAAGTCTGATGCCTAGTGTTGGGCACTGTTGGTCACAAGGCTGGGCCTAGGAACCAAAAGTGCCAGACGGCAGTTTCGAAACCCCTTAAAGATACATGACCAGGCAGCAGACGGCAGTTTCAAAACCACTTACAGGTACATGACCAGGCAGCTGAGAGTGAGGCAAGGAGGCCCTAGCATGCCACAGAAAATGAGGCAACAACTAGGCCAAGTAGAACGCTTAGAAGGCTGGAGTGAGACAAGAACACCCTAGCACGCCAAAGAAGGCGAGGCAAGGGATAGAACCAAAACTGGCTTTTTGTGGTTTTAAAGCTTTTCAGGCTTTTCAGGCTTTTCAAGGCTGAGCGTAGTAGAACCGAGAGTGCCAGACGGCAGTTTCGAAATCCCTTGAAGATACATGACCAGGCAGCTTAGAAGGCTGGAGGCTTTTAACGCTTTTCGAGGCTAGGCCTAGTAGAACCAAAAGTGCTAGACGGCAGTTTCGAAACCACATGACCAGGCAGCTTAGAAGGCTGGAGTGAGGCAAGGAGGCCCTAGCAGGCCAAAGAAAATGAGGCAAGGGCTGGGCTTAGTAGAACCAAAACTAGCTTTCCAGTAGAACAAAAACAGGCTTTTTCAGGTGCCAGACGGCAGTTTCGAAAGCCGTTAAAGATACATGACCAGGCAACTTAGAAGGCTGGAGTGAGGCAAGGAGGCCCTAGCACGCCAAAGAAGGTGAGGCAAGGGCTGGGCCTGATACAACCAAAACTGGCTTTTTGAGGTTTTAAGTAGGTTTTTAAAGCTTTGCAAGGCTGGGCCTAGTAGAACCAAAAGTGCTAGACGGTAGTTTCGAAACCTGTTATAATGACCAGGCAGCTTAGAAGGCTGGAGTGAGGCAAGGAGCAGGCCAAAGAAGGTGAGGCAAGGGCTGGGCCCAGTAGAACCAAAAGTGCCAGACGGCAGGTTCGAAATTTCTAAAGATACATGACCAGGCAGCGTGGAAAGCTGGAGTGAGGCAAGGAGGTCCTAGCAGGCCAAAGCCGCACACCTGCGGTGATCCCGGGCGCCGCCCCGCCTAGGCTAAGGCGAGGCAGGGGTCGGCGTATATATATATATATTTAGATATAGATAGATAGATAGATACATAGATATAGGTATAGATATAGATATATTTATTTATTTATTTATCTATCTATTTATCTATTCATTTTTTTATTTGTTTATTTGTTCATTTGTTCATTCGTTCATTCATTCATTCATTCATTTATTTTTATATATTTACACATACATTTACTCATTTCACTTTCAATATTATTCACTTTTTCTATTTCAGGAAAACTGACTATTGATAAAATACGATCTATGATACAACCCTGATTCTTGCAATCTGTCATGCGGCCGTTGATCAGGTTCAATGCGTGCGTACGCAAAGAGCAGGACGAAGAGAGCAAGCGCATTGCAGAGGAGACTTCTTGTGGTGCAATATTGAAGAAACCATGGGAAAGGGTAAGATCGAACAATATATATATATACAAAATTCATGCTTTCGAAGAAAACCAACGTTTATCCTCAGGAGCGAAGATCCCAAAATTCTGGGAAATAAAATATTCATAAATCAAAACTAACTATATATATATATAAACTAATTTCGAATCATGATTATAATTCTTTATTTTAAATATGATATATATATATATATGTATGTGTGTGTGAATTATTGTTAAAATGGTTGAAGACCTGTGTAGTACTGTAGGATTTTTGAAAGATGTATATAAAGCACGATAAAGCGATAGGACCCCCCAAAACGCGATAATTTGGGACTATATGCGACAATCTATTAAATTTGCCTCCCTTTTTTTAACCTTGCGTCTCTTTTTTAACCTTGCCTCTGTTTTAACATTGGAAAACTCTTTTTTCTACCCGTGCTTCCCTACCTCTCTTTTCTAACCTTGCCACCACTTTTTCCAAACCTTGCGCCTCTTTTTCCTAACCTTGCACCTCTTTTTTCTAACTTTGCTGACCTCTTTTTTCTGACCTTGCACCTCTTTTTTCTGACCTTGTTTGCCATTTTACCCAGCAGGCCCGGCTCCAGGGATGGAGCCCAGAGCAAGATTAAAGTGCGGCTGGCTGGTTCCCGGAGGTTCTGGAAGGTTCTGGACGGTTCCGGGAGATTTGGGAGATTCTGTGCCTATTTGTCCTATCTGCTCCATCTATCCTATTTATCCTATTTGTCCGATCTGTCCTATTTGTCTTATCTGTCCTATCTATCGAATTTACCCTGACCTATATCTATCCTATGTGTGTATCAAACTTCGGTATATTATCCTATCCCATCCCACCCTTTCCTATGCAATTCTTTCCTATACATCCTATTCTGCCACACCTGTCCTATCCCATCCCATCCCGTCTACCTATCTATCTATCCATCTAACTACCTATCCAAACCTATGCATCTATCTACCTATCTGTCTCTCTATGTATCTAGCTGCTAGCAATCTATTTATCTACTTTTTATCTCCCTTCCCTCTTCCTGTCTTTCTACCTAGCTACCTAGCTAGCTATCTATCCTATCTATCCTATCTATCCTATCTATCCTATCTATCCTATCTATCCTATCTATCCTATCTATCCTATCTATCCTATCTATCCTATCTATCCTATCTATCCTATCTATCCTATCTATCCTATCTATCCTATATCCTATCTATCTATATCTATCTATCCTATCTATCCTATCTATCCTATCTATCCTATCTATCCTATCTATCCTATCTATCCTATCTATCCTATCTATCCTATCTATCCTATCTATCCTATCTATCCTATCTATCTATCCTATCTATCCTATCTATCCTATCTATCCTATCTATCCTATCTACTCCTATCTATCCTATCTATCCTATCTATCCTATCTATCCTATCTATCCTATCTATCCTATCTATCCTATCTATCCTCTATCCTTATCCTATCCTATCTATCCTATCTATCC